AAGAAACAGCAATCAAAAGGACGGTAATTATAGTGGGCATAGGCCAATCAACTGTCAGAGGTCATCAAGTCGTCAAGGGGTAACCTTGCTCGGTCGGCCTCCGGGCTCGATCCGGTCGGTAGGTCTTTGGATATGCCCTTGCCCATGATTTTAGCTGAACTGAGACTTTGGATTCATCAGGACCGCATTTATCAACTTGTATGCGTTTTCTTTTCTGCAATATCATCGTTGCAGTTCGTCTCTGCCTCAAGAAGCTCAGCAGGAAGCTCTTATCTATCGGAACTGTTTTTTGTGCACTTTAAGATATGAAGATCTCCAGAAACCTTTCTGAGTAGAAAAAATTGTTTTCTTCTGATAAAATTCCGCTACAAAATTGTTATAATAGTGTGACAACAACCATTTAGTTGCCTTGCGATTATTTCCTTACATGAGGCAACCCCATTGAACCCAAAAAGTATGATGTTTGATCAACATTGTTGTTTTCCGGTATTGGCTGTTTTTCCCTAATGCTCCTCTTTCCTCTTTAGTATCATCGAATTGGGCCCTCATCCATGCTCCTTCAACAGCCCGGTGCTTCTGGAGATACCGCATTTTGCTTCTCTTCGTGGGCGACAGCGTGAGATTGTTATTCTTCGCAGTGACGACGCGGAAACTTGGAAAGAACATTCACTGGAGGCTTCAGATCAGGCCGTTCGGCAAGCCCTTGGACCTGCCTTTGGTAAGTCCTTTTCGTCTGATTTACCTACGTCACGATTTATTATCAGATTCCCGTCCTCACCGATTGACACTAATATGTGGTTACGTAAACCTTTATTACTGTTTGATTGGTTGATTGATTCATTTATTCGCTGTTCCCTCTTGAAGCAGTGACTTTAGTGTCCCCGGCCTGTCCCCTCTTCCGACCGAACGAGCAATAGGCTTAGAGTATTGAACCAGTTTGCTTTGATGTATAATCAATAAATACCGTTAATTGTGAATGCGCGATAGCTGCTATTTTGGCTAGAGCGCTCCTCGACTAGGAGGCCATCGGATAGTACTTTTAGGAGATTTGGCAGATTTCCTTTATTTGGTTTGACCCAATTGTGAAACAAAACTCGAGACGTTCGGCAGGATTTGAACCCGCATAGTACAGAAAGCCTTTACCGGAAGCCAACGCTCTAACCACTTGAGCTAAAAACGCCCCACCTCGCGTCATGAATTTAATCACACTTGGGTCGATTTTACCC